TTCTGCTGGTGCCTGGATTGGACAGACTGACTCCTGAATTCCATTTTAGTTTGTCCACCCCTGCTCTTGAATCTACGGATCATTTTAACATGCTGTTTTCAGTTTGGTAACATTTCCCTTTTGTGTTGTATACAATATACTCCATTTCAATGTCCATGTTTTGAAAGTTTTGTTTTTTTAATTTTAAACCTGTATTGGAGAATTTGCTGTAAAGGAAGCAACCTAAAGTGCTGGATTATACCTTCAGGGTTATATTATGATTTCTCTGCACACCCCCGAAGCCCCTGACTGAGTGACATTGTTGGTGCTTGGTTATGGGTCACTCAAGTACTGTACACTGCAATGTTGCATAGAGAAGAGGGTGTGTGTTTCTGTGCACCCCAGATATATTTTAGGGTGCTTAAGTGGCTCACAAAGAAATATTACTGTAACTGCAGATGAGATCTCCTTTACAGTAAATGTGATAGCTTCCCACTGAGGGCTATGCATCTGATACCATCTCATTGGTTGCTAGAACGCTGATGGAGCCAAGTGGCCAGTGATGCATCCCTGGCAGGGGATTCTGGGCAAAATGTCTATACGTGCTAAATGTTTTTTTCTTTCTAAAATGTTACTTTTACTGTAGTACATCTTACAGGTGTGCCACTTCATGTGCAGGTATAGGGCATCCCCCAAGCATGCTATTTAAAGGAATGTAGTATTTTTATTATCTCACTTTAGGCCTTACTAAAAGAGCTGCTCCCCGCTGAATGGTATTTCTGTTTACTTTTTTTGCCCTGGTGTGTCCCCCAGGGCAGTGGACAGCTCCCCATGCAATTTGTTTGACCATCCTTTGCCTTTTATCCTTGAAAATGGCCAGAATTGATTTTCAAGATTCTCCTAAGGTTCAATAAGGTTTGTCTTCAAGTTCACAATTTGTGCATTTTTAGACATGTTAGTGGAAGGATTGTTAGGATTATAAATATATTCATCTTCTACTATATTCACTTGTACCATCAGATCTTCTCTCATTTCTTCATTTTTGCATTAACAAACAAAATTTGTCAAGGCATCCCAGACTACTAACAGTAAAGCTGAAGAAAAAATCCTCCCAAAAAAAATCATTAGTGTCGTAATGTATGGAAGAGGGCTCCGGGAACAATTTTAACCAATAGGGCTTTAGTCTCCAAGCAAGAGAAATATCTGTTATTACCTTTTAAATTGTTGTATCAAAAGAGAATGACCAGAGATTTCCCTAGCCATATAATAAATCTTATGAATTAGTGGAATCATATTAGGTGAGCCAATTGCTAAATCTATTCTAGAGAATTGTTTGTGATATAAAGAAACAAGAATATTTCTTCTCTTTAGGATGTGGTAAGCATCGTATATCTATTAACCCAAGCTCTGAAGTAACTTGCCAAAGGAAGACAAGATACTAGGAAACTGCACCCCTGGGGAAAGATATCTATCCATTGCAGGCAATATAACATTATTGTAATCCCCTACTACAAAATTAAATTCATATTACTTATCTAGTATAAATTCAGAGAGGATTTTCATCACTTCACTAGAGTATGATCGGGAAATATAAATAACACCAATTATATATTTAGAGGAATACAGTGAGCCATATACAGTATAAAAACATATCTACTTTTAAAATTCACCTCTTTCTAAAAACATGTGAACTGTAGCAGCCTATGTAAAACCCCAATTCCACAAAAGTTGGGACGCTGTGTAAAATCTACATAAAAAGAGAATGCAATGAATTGCAAATCTCATAAACCCATTTTTTATTCACAATAGAACATAGAAAACATATCAAATGTTTAAACTGAGAAAATGTACCATTTTAAGAAAAAAAAAGATAATTTTGAAATTGATGGCAGCAGCACGTCTCAAAAAAGTCAGGACAAGGAAACAAAAAGCTGGCAAAGTAAGTCGTACTAACAAGGAAGAGCTGGAAGAACATTTTGCAACTAATTAGGTTAATTGGCAACAGGTCAGTAACATGATTGTGTATAGAAAGAGCATCTTAGAGAGTCAGAGTGCCTCAAAAGTAAAGATGGGCAGAGGTTCACCAATCTGAAAAGCTGCGTCTACAAATTGTCGAACAATTTAAGAATAATGTTCCTCAACGTAAAATTGCAAAGACTTTAAATATATCATCATCTGCAGTACATAATATCAAAAGATTTCAAGAATCTGGAGAAATCTCTGTGCACAAGGGAAAAGGCCCGAAATTCAATATTGGATGCCCATGATCTTCGGGCTCTCAAGTGGCACTGCGTTAAAAACAGGCATGATACTGTGATGGATATTACTGCATGGGCTCAGGAATACTTAAAAAAAATCACTGTCTATGAACACAGTTTGCCGTGCCATCCAAAAATGAAAGTTAAAGCTCTATCAAAGAAGAAACCATATCTGAACGGGATCCAGAAACGCCACCATCTTTGGGCTAAAGCTCATTTAAATTGATCTGTCGCAAAGTGGAAAACTGTTCTGTGGTCAGACAACCAAAATTTGACATTCTTTTTGGCAACCATCAGCGCCGCATCCTCCATACTAAAGAGGAGAGGGACCTTGCAGTTTATTATCAGTGCTCAGTTCAAAAGTCTGCATCTCTGATGGTATGGAGGTGCATTATTGCATATGCATTGGGCATCTTGCACATCTGGAAAGGACCATCAATGCCAAAAGATATATCCAGGCTTTAGAGCAGCATATGCACCCATCCCAATGACTTCTTTTTCAGGGAAGGCCCTGCATATTCCAGCATGACAATGCTAAACCGCATACTGCATCTATGACAACAGCATGGCTGCATAATAGAAGAGTCCAGCTGCTTAACTTGCCTGCCTGCCTGCTGTCCAGACCTTTCACCAATTGAAAATATTTGGCGCATCTTGAAACAAAATGCGACAAAGAAGACCCAGGACCGTTGAGAAGTTAGAATCCTATATCAGGCAAGAATGGGACAACATTCCTCTCCCAAAACTCCAGCAACTGGTCTCCTCAGTTCCCAGACATTTACAGAGTATTGTCAAATGAAGATGGGAGACTACACCGTGGTAAACATGGCCCTGTCCCAACTGTTTTAAGACCATCAATTTTAAAATGACTATATTTTTTTCTTAAACAGGTACATTTTATCAGTTTAAACATTTTATAAGTTTTATTTTTTTTATTCTATATTTTTTCTATTGTGAATAAAATATGGGTTTATTAAATATGCAAATCATTGCATTCTGTATTTATGTAGATTTTACACAGCATCTCAGCTCAAATGTCAATTATGTGTCACATCAGGCCAAGTTATAGTGCTGCCGTCTATGACACCTAGGTCTGCTTGCTTGTTGTGGCCATTCGTGTAATGTCTCAGCATTCACCCTCCCTTATATTTTTTATTTATTTCACCTCTTGAAGAATGAAACAGGCAGAAGTTGTTTCTTCTTAGTGCAGCAGGAGAAAGAAGCATACGGGGGTGTCAAAATGTCGAACTCCTAGTTCAAGTGCAATTGATTTAAAGTGACACTAAACTCAGGAGCTAATTCTTAAAAATGCATTCAAGTACCCTAACTATTAACAAAAATGTATCTTATTTGTGTATCACTCGGCTGTAGATCCTCAAATCAGATCTCTGAATTCATGCTAACACTGTCCTTCCTTCTGGAGGGTGGCTACTTTTGTTCCCATTGGTCCCTGTGTGTGTTGTAAAGTAGTCATCGCTCCAAGCTCATTCCCGTGATGGACTATAATTTTCACAGTTAGTTTACTAATTTGTATTGATTGTCCAATTTGTATTGTATTAGTCCATCATGGGAGCATGGGGAACAAAAGTAGCCACCCTCCAGAAGGAAGGACAGTGGCAGCACCAATTCAGAGATGATTTGAGGATCTACAGCCGAGTGATGCACAAATACGTTGTATTTTGTATAATAGGGTACTTGAATGCATTTTTAAGTTTTAACTCCTGAGTTTAGTGTCACTTTAAGCTGACCAAGTATGGCCATAAGGTTATTATCAATATTGAGTCGAGTGACTGTTAATATGAGATACCAATCTTATGACAGGTCAGTGGTTCTGGAGCTACAATCCCAGCATCCAAATGTCATGCACAGCAGGAGGACCAAGACCTGTTCATCTTGCTTTAAAGTTGTGGCCCCCTATGATTTTTTGTGGCCTTTCTAAATTCTATGTTTGTAGCATACTTCAGCACTGATTTCCTCTATAGGCAGTTTTGCAGAGCAGCTCATTTGAGTAAGGGAAAAAACACGTCACCTTGTGTGTCATTCAGCTGGTCTTGCGGCTCTACATTTTTCCACAGTAATGCAATTACCGTCTGAAACATCCACTTAGGAGACATTCTTTTAACAGGAGAACCTGATGGTGATTTTCTCAGCATTGTGCATCCCAAGATGTGACAAGCATTAGTGTTCTTGTTATTTTCTTCTCTCTTTAGCTTCGGTTTATCCAGTACTATTCACACAACGTGATCAGGACAGAATAAAATACCAAACCAAAAAAAAGGCGAAGAAAGTTCAGTAAGCACAGCATGTAACAAAGAGGCCCCAGTGTAACTATCGATGTCTCATGCAGGAGCGAGGTCTGCCGGCTGTATGCTACACAGCAAAGCCATTCAGGGCTGAGCCAAGCCTGGCTTCCAGAGAGTGCTCAGGGGCAAAGGCTGGTCAAAGTGCTGCTATGTATGGCTAGCCAGACTCGGGGCAGAACAAAGAAAGAATATAACAGCTAACTAATGTTAAGAAAGAATGTTGTAGCTGAAACTGGAGTCCATTATTTGCAGCACTAAGTAGCTGTGAGTAGAACATGTACATTATTTGCTTAAAAAGGGAACTGGGTACATGGGGATTTCAGGAAGAATCTTGTTTTGACAAAATGAAAAGAAAACATGCGTCAATCTTATTTGTTTCCCTTCCCTCCTCACTGTTTTATAATTGTTTTCTAGTGGTTGTGAAATGTTACTAATCTGAAGTCTTTCTTCAACTCTACAGATGAAATCATGCAGCAAGAAATCAGACCCTTGCTTGCTGTGGACATCATGGAGCAGCTTCACAGGCAGTTTGCTACCTTGCCAGGTAAGATCTGCATGAGCCATATTTGTGCATTTTGGGAGATATACATAATAACCAAAGCTTAACATGTTAGGAAATGCAATTTTAGCTTTACAAAAAACGACATAACCATTTGGCTGTTATTGCACTGCGAGGGTACTGACTGATGGTTTTCTATGTTTGCAGAATAAATGCATTTGTTCAAATTATGTTGTTACACTGAAATGTGTTCTTTGCATATATGGCTGCTGTCAAAAACTAGCAAGGTTATTCACTAAAGGGTGAAGAGTTTGGAGAAGGCAGGAGGAGCAAACAATCTAGGACAACATAGCAGAACTGGAAAGTGAGCTGAACTGAAGCATTTTTCCAAATCAGCTATTCTGGCCTAGATTGTTAACCTCTCCTGCCTTCTCCAGACTCTTCACTTTTTAGTGAATAACCCTGTAGGTATTGTAGTTTACTGGTGTTCAGCTGGAAGCCAAAGGGCTACACATGGTTCTTTATTGCTACTTTAACAGACCTGGTCTATATTGGAAATACATTTTTTTAAAAAATCTTTTATTTATTGTCATCATACATCTTGCTGCACAAAAGCACATTCAAACTTCTCAAACACTCAAACAATTATTAATGTGTATTATTTTATTAATTTTAGGGTATGCCTCCTACTCTGCAGTAATTTGTAGTGCTGGGTTATCTCTATTCTTTGCCTTATCAGTAGAGACTAAAGATTATCAGCCACACATCTATCCATGCCAACAGATAGCAATGCTGGTCTGCTGGGAGTACCATTAAAATATTTATCATGGTCGGTATATGTGGAAATTATTGCACAAGGCCCCCTTCAGGTAACTGGCATCCCTACAGTCTTTAAGTGTAGCCTACTAATCAAAACATTTAATGAAATTATCTTAATTATTCTCCTAAAATTTCTATTTCAGTGCTTCCCACAATGTATCAAGGTGTGTAAAATTGTAATTTTGAGATCTATAATGGTAATTTTGCCAACCATTTATTATAATATCTATGTCTATATAATATTTATCTCACCTTTATGCCCATCGTAAAAATACATTTCATGTTATTTATCAAAATAGAAGTGTCATTTCAATGGGTTGCCATCCAAAAATGACACTGAAAAATGTAACCGTTATAGAATAGACTGCCTAAACAAACATTAGCAACATTTGAAAATAAAAAAAAATGTGTATAATTAAATTCTTCAGCTTTACATTAATAGTTACAGGCAGACACTAATGAATGGGGCTGAATGGTTCTGAGGTGTAAATGACAAATTTAATTTTGGGGGAAAACTCATTTTTATTAACAATAACAATACTCCATGTAAAAGAGCCAGAAGCATGGACATCTATTGGCTTTTTAATCATTTTTTTCACTTAGTTTTGCCAAAATTAAAAATCCCTATAATGACCTTAACTATGTTGTTTGCTACTTTATCCCCCAAACTATGTTTAAAGCAAGTCCTGATTTCCATTATATGCATCTTTTTGTATATACCTATTGTATTTGGGACAGGTTACTTGCCGTTGAAATTGGCATTCATTTATGGGTGTATGGGTGAATGACTGTGGTGGGAACATTAAATAGTCGACTGCTCCGGGGGAAGAAATAATGCAAATATAGATATAGTTCAGGGCACTCTACTGGGCCAAAGAATAAATGTTCTGCCCAGTGTAAATCTGCATTATTGTCACTAGATAGAGCCATCTCCATCTAGTGGCAGTAATGCCATGGGACAGCAATCTGAACACAAGCAGACTAAGAGTAGGCACCAACACATGTTTTAATGGAAAAACATACTGTTCACAGCATCCACATAAGCAAAAGTAAAATAACAAGGTTTAAAAGTTAAAAAAACAATTAAGTGCAGTCCGCCTGTTCTGGGTACAGTGCAGAATTCAGAACATGAGAACAATAATGACTTCTCTGTTCACTATCAATTTTGGATCCTAGTCCACAATTGGTAAATTTGGAAACTCTTTGCATCTAGGAAGAGCAACACCAAAAAGAACACATTTTACAAGTTAAATTATACACTCTTCAACCGCCATGGCCCAGGCACCCCAGATACTGCTGTTTGTCCTATATAAAGCGGTACACCTTCTTCCCTGATCCAGACAGGATAGCATAAACGACTATAGTCCCAGGCTTCTGTGTCTGGTCACAGACATGTATTTTTACACATAAATACATATATACACTGCATATAAATAAATGCCGGGATTAAGTTACTAAGTAACCTAAAGAAACTAATCACAGATTACTTTATATCAGTTTACACCAGTTAGCAGGATGTAAAGATCACTGGCTGATTAATTGCTCTAGGTTTAAAGGAGTTGTAAAGTCCCAGCATATGCTATCCTGTTATAACATCATCATTGTAATATGAATGCATACTATAGTTGTTTTTAAAACATAGGGGTCTAGTCACTAAGCTGCCGTAGGCAGCGGAGTGAATAACCGACCTGAAGTGAAGTGAGCCGAACGCTGTTCGGCTATTCACTTCAGGCTTGTATGGCTGATTTCAGCCGTATATTGGCTGAAATCAGCCGTACATCAGCTTGCTTCGTGTGGCTTTGGGTAGGGCGAGCAGAATAGAAAAATAGTTTACAAAAGTAGAAAACAAAATGGAAAACGATTGGGTGGAGCTAGCAGTGACAGCTAGCTCCGCCCAACTGTTTTCTATTGGCCGGGCGGTTCTTCTGCCCTCCCTGGTTACCAGGGACGCTGATCTGTCTGTGCAAGTGGCCGGAACCAGCCATGAGATGATTCGGCCAGCTTCGGCTTTCACTTCGGCTCAGTCGAGCCGAAGCATATGCCTTCGGCTCGACTGAGCCCCTCGGCCAACTTTGGGAGCTGTACGGGCTATAGTAAATAGCCCGAACAGCAGCCCTTCGGTTCTACTGAACCGAAGGGGTCCTGGGGCCAAAGCTAGCCAAAGGATCAGCCGAAGCTATGGCTAGATCCTTCGGCAGCTTAGTGAATAGACCCCATAGACTTTTATTGACTGCTATAACCTTTTTCCTATCAACATAAACAATAAGGAGAGAGATATGATAGTTGCTCCACATCACTGCTTCAGAATTGCCATTGAGACATGGGTATTAGGAGTGTTAACCTATTCTCACTCCAAGTGATGGCTGAGTGGTTAGTTTGAGGTGGGATAGGATTCTCTGAAGAGATGAGTCTTAAGGGATCGCCCAGAGGCAGGTTGGGGTAAAGTGTTCCAGAGGATGGGAGACTCTAGTGAAGTCCTGGAGACGAGTATGGGAGGAGTTGATGAGGGAGCTGGAAAGCAGGAGGTCTTTGGAAGAGCGGAGGGGATGGTTAGGGTGATACTTTGAGACCAGGTTTGAGATATAGCCGGGGGCAGAGTTGTGGATGGCTTTGTATTATTATTATTATTACATAGTATTTATATAGCGCCAACAGTTTGCGCAGCGCTGTACAATATAAGGAAGACATTACAGTTACAATACAATTCAAGACAAGATGGTAAGGAGGGCCCTGCCCCTGAGGGCTTACAATCTAAAAGAGGAGGGGGAAATGATACATGAGGTAGCTGTGGTAGCTGTGGGAATGAATTATGTGAGAATGTGAAGGTTCAGTGGTGTAACGCGCTGAGTTCAATGGTCAGGATCTCAACTGCGGAGTTGTGAAGCATAAAGGAATACCCTCGTGAGTTGTTCTGGGGGTGTTCCTATAGGTGATTCAGTTTGAATTCCAGGCGGCTCTCTCAATCTTAATGGAGAGTTAGGAATTCCTACATCATGCACCTGTACTAATTAAGCTGAAATTAATTCTAACTAGAGCAGCCCCACCTAGTGGACGACTGAGGAGTGGAGTTATAATTAAGAGATGGATGCAATAATTAGTTCCCTGGAAGCACCTCGTTATGTAATAATGCAGGTGGGGGTAGAAATGGTAAGAAAATGGTCACATATAGGAGCACAGTTATCAATTGAATGGCAGTTCTTATTGGCAGCGTTAATGAAACAGTCCTTTTAGACACCCAACTGAGCAGCGTACAGCAATGCAGTACTCAATTGATGTGGTATGGAATCAGTATTTCACTGTAGCATGTATAAGCACATTAGCAAGCAGAATGTCAGCAGTGACAAGCGGTATAGTCCATCAGTAAGCTTATTCCATTTAACAGCAAGGAGGCAATACTCCCATATACTTGCAGTTTGGATGGTCCCAGGCTGAGCGGTGGGTGTTAGTCAGATGACTGTAGGGGAGAGTGGTCCCAGGTCGATCGGTGGGAGTTTCGTCGGAATTGCCTGTGGAGGAGAGCGGTTCCAGGTCCCGAGGCAGTAAATGCAGGGTGATGTGAAGGTAGCAGGGCGCACACTTCATTAGTGGAACGCCGTGCTACGTTCCACTTCCGTATTTGAGGTTTGCATCAGTCTTGGGGGCGGAGCCGAGTGACGGCCGCTCTGCACGCTGCGTTCCACAGTGGAACGCAGGCCGTGCTGTTCGGTATGGGGATCGCTACCCCGCGTTCCAGGTCGGAAGCTCCTGGGGTATGTGTTACAAGTGGTTAGGTTGAGGTGGGATAGGCTTCCCTGAAGAGATGAGTCTTTAGGGAACGCCTAAAGGCAGTCAAGGTGGGAGATAGACGGACAGGTTGGGGTAAGGAGTTCCAGAGGATGGGAGAGACTCTAGAGAAGTCCTGAAGGCGAGTATGGGAGGAGTGGACAAGTGAGCAGGAAAGCAGGAGGTCAATGGATGAGCGGAGGGGACGTTTAGGGTGATACTATGAGACAATGTCTGAGATATATCCGGGGCCAGAGTTGTGGATGGCTTTATAGGTGACTGTTAATATTTTGAATTTTATCCTCTGGGCGAGTGGAAGCCAGTGGAGGGATTGACAGAGGAGGGATGCAGACACTGAGCGGTTGGTAAGGTGAATGAGTCTGGCAGCTGCATTCATGATAGACTGAAGGGGGGATATCCTGTAAGTGGTAAGTGGTTGTAAGTGGTTGTTAATATTTTGAATG